TTCGGGCTCTTGTACACCTTTTTCTTGCTACGTGTGCGTGTTCTTTAGATCCTCAGATGGCTCTAGCACTTTCGTGACCACGGGCCGAGAGTCTTTGCTAGATTTTGGCATTTAGCAACTGGCATACGGTTTAATGTGAAGTCAACAACAACAACAAACAATTAGTCGTCAGACGCGCATGTACACCAAACCCGTCCAAACCTCCACACGCAGGCCGGCCGTAAGCCCCATAAAAAAATAGCCAGCCGCCCGTGCTTCCCCGCTGCAGTATATGTTGCTGGCGTTCAGGCGCAGTTGACAGCAAGGTCTCATGCCACTCTCGCCCTTGTTCTCGAGGGGAGCGGGGACGCCAAACACCTCTCTTCCTCCGCACGAACAGGACCAGGTGATGAAAGCCCGGCCTGGCAATATATCTGGGGCGGGAAATATTGGGGGCGGTGGGGTATTATGATTGAAGTTTGTGCAATGACACATCGTAAAAACACACACCTTCAACAGTCCGCTGGTTGACTGCGTTTCCGACGGCTTATCCGGGAGCGGGAAGCGAGGCCAGCAGCCTGTAGAAGCTACAATATAAACACGTATTTATCAAAACAAAAACACACCTTCAAAAGCCCTCAGGTACACCACGATTCTGGCCGCGGGCCTCCCCGGGAGCCTCTCCGCCATGCTGCCCGCCGCCCGCCCCCTCCTCCATTTCCACAGAGTCTCCTCCGGTCCCGGCCCCACCTTACGATTTTAGTTTGTGCAATAAGATATCGTAAAAACGACACCTTCAAAAGTCCACTGGTAGACTGCGTTGCCGACCGCTTATCCGGGAGCGGGGAGCGAAGCCAGCTGCCTGTAAAAGCTACAAAATTACCTGCATTTATCAAAACAAAACCACACCTTCAAAAGCCTTCGGGTAGACCACGCTTCTGACCGCGGGCCTCTGCGGGAGCCTCTCCTCCATGCTGCCCGCCGCCCGCCCCCTCCTGGTCCGTTGGCTCGGCCTGGGCTTGACCGACCCCACCCTAGCCCTCGCCGACGTAGGCTGGGTCTCCACCGGTGGTCTCTTCCTCAATTTCCACAGAGCCTCCTCCGGTCCCGGCCCCACCTGCAATGAGATATCATAAAAAGCACACACACCCGTCACAAATCCGGTGGTAGACTGCGTTTCCGACTGCTTATCCGGGAGCGTGGAGCGAGGCCAGACTACTTCAGTACACAGTAAACACGCCTTCAAAAGCCCTCAGGTACGGCACGCTTCTGACTACGGACCTCCGCGGGAGCCTCTCCTCCATGCTGCCCGCCGCCCGCCCCCTCCTCGGCCTGGGCTTGACCGACCCCACCCTCGCCCCCTCCTCAATTTCCACAGAGTCTCCTCCGGTCCCGGCCCCACCTCAACCCTTTTGTGACTACCCCCCTCTGGAGTGATGGTCAGAGTGACGCTCCTCTTCCTGTCGCACAACTTTTTTCGAAATTCGCGCTGAAAAAGAGGCTCGAAAAGGGCGAATAGATCGCGCTCGAGGAGCGCGTTCGCGACCCGGGGACACAAGAAGCAGAATCCCTCCGCAAAAAAACACAGAGCGGGAGTTGCACTCTCGCAGACCACCTCTGTAAGAGTTGCAGACCGTGTGTCTTATACGCGCGGCAGACCATTGCTGCGCTGGTGTGATGAAGGTCCCTTCCGCGTTTCTCCTGGCGTTTTTTCGCCTCTGCGCCATGGCTGCTGCCACCTCCACTGCTGCTGCTGCTGCTGCTGCTGCTGCTGCTGCTGCTGCTGCCTCTTTTTCTGACGATGAGGCCCTCTGCTTCGGAGCGCGGCGAAACGTGGAACGTTTCCCGCCAGCTCTTGTGCTCGGCCGCAAGGTGGCGGAGCACATGCACCTGGATACCGAGCTTCCCAAGGTGAACTGCAGTGAAAGAAAGAACGGGTCACGTCGAGCGTACACCTCCCCAGACGGGGCCCAAGTGCATGAAGTTCCCGGCGACGGGGATTGTGGATACCACGCTGTACATGGCGCGCTGCNGGAGCGCGGCGAAACGTGGAACGTTTCCCGCCAGCTCTTGTGCTCGGCCGCAAGGTGGCGGAGCACATGCACCTGGATACCGAGCTTCCCAAAGTGAACTGCAGTGAAAGAAAGAACGGGTCACGTCGAGCGTACACCTCCCCAGACGGGGCCCAAGTGCATGAAGTTCCCGGCGACGGGGATTGTGGATACCACGCTGTACATGGCGCGCTGCAGAAAGTGCTAGGCGTCACGCGCGCACCGCACAATGGATGCGAAAGCACTGGAGCGAGTCGGCCCACGACAACTACCCCATGGTGCAGGAGTGCATGCAGCGCGATTTGTTCGAGCTGCTGTACTCTCGGTTCCTCCCCTGCTCGGACCCCAACGCCCCTCCACGGCAACTACCGACCGGAGAGGACAACCCGGAGTACGACTTGAAGTGGCATATCAGGTGAATCTATGCTTAGACTTGTCCGGATGCATTTGTCCGATGTAGATAAGCTTGCCGTGCGTTTTTTTTTTTTTTCAAGCATGTTTTTTTGCTGTAGTGGGGGCAACGACATCGTACGCTGGATCACCCCCTCCACACGCCCGTTCTGTTTCTCCTTTTAGCAGTGTTTTCCTTTTTTTTGTCGAGTAGCCGGGCGAACGGCATGCGTGCAGGATATTCTCCCATACAATCATCACAGCATGTTGGTGCTTGCATTTCATGCTCGCAAGTTCGAGATATAGGCTGGATGCGCGAATACGAAAAAGCGAACCGTCGGAAAACTTGTCGTTTACAATTTTTTGTCGTCCTTGCTGCTAACGCAGGGACCTGGAGAAGATCCTAAACCGCGCGTGGTACGTTGACTTGGGTCAGTGGATGTGCTACGACGAACAAATGGTGAAGACAGTAAGCACGTTTTCGAAAGGACTCGCTCATTTCAACCCGGCGAAACCCATCACACACGGTGAGAAAAACCCGTTTTGTTCAACTACGCCCCCTGTGACCCCACAGCCACCCCCTGCAGACATGCATGAGATCCTGTTTTTTCGTGGAATTAGCCCTGGTCAAAACCAACACCATGTTTTGTTGACGGAGGCGTACCCCGCCTATCCGTCTGCACCCGATCTTTAGTGCAGATCGGGAGGTGTCGAGGCCAGTTTTTTCATCGTACGTGTTCGGTGCTGTCAAGACGTAAGACGTGCAAGGTCGTCGACGAGCTCAGCCCCTGGCGTTTCGAAAGTCTGTCCGCGATCTGCCGCATGTGTTATGCGTTCTGCTGTAGAACCTTTTGTGCGTTAGTGATACTGTACACACGTACGCCGGGCGGAAGCTTCGTATGACGCCTTCGTGCACAAGCCTCCAACTGGAATAACACCCCTCACTTTCTATGCTTCGTGTTTTTCGGCTCTCGTTTGTTTGTNATCGGGAGGTGTCGAGGCCAGTTTTTTCATCGTACGTGTTCGGTGCTGTCAAGACGTAAGACGTGCAAGGTCGTCGACGAGCTCAGCCCCTGGCGTTTCGAAAGTCTGTCCGCGATCTGCCGCATGTGTTATGCGTTCTGCTGTAGAACCTTTTGTGCGTTAGTGATACTGTACACACGTACGCCGGGCGGAAGCTTCGTATGACGCCTTCGTGCACAAGCCTCCAACTGGAATAACACCCCTCACTTTCTATGCTTCGTGTTTTTCGGCTCTCGTTTGTTTGTCCTTTTTTTGTTCCTTCGCGAGACAGGGATGAAGCAATATGCCGCGTCCGACAGGAACGGATACTGCTTGATCAACAGCATCGACGGGAGCTTCAAAGGTGATCCCTCCCTTGGACCCTTGGAGGATTGCCCCCTCGGCAAAACCACGCGACACGTGCTTCACGTCCTGCTGGAGGAGTGCGAGACGCTGCGAGGGAAGCTTGTCGGTTCCGGCGTCTTCATCGCAATGGCCAACTACTTCACCTCGCCCACCCTGTTCGCCTGCCTCGCGTCACACGACATCTTCGCCGTGGCTACCTGTCGCAGCCCGCGGACGTGCGGCGCTCTCCCGTACATGGAGAGCCTCGGGCATACGATTCCCAACCGGGGCGACATGACCTTCTGCCGCTCGGGTGAGATGGCGTTCGTGCAATGGAGAGACTCGAAGGAGATTCTCCTTTACAGCACGGTCCACATCGGGGAGACGGGGGGAGAAGGGGGCGGCATCAACCACTTCAAGCCTGTACTTCTAGCGTGAGTTTCGGTTTTCTTTTGACCTTCGCGTGGGTGTGAAGTGTGTGCATTGCCATTTGTTCGCGTCGAGAATGGGGAGGGTTGGGATTGGCGTGCGACCGAGTTGAATTTTACTCCGAATCGGTCGTGAAAGGTAGAACACGTCTTTGACAGGGCACACGGCGNGTCCCTTGCCCCCCCCCCCGCCCTATTTCATTTCTTTTTGTTTCCGTCTTCTCAAGTCTGAAAGGCAAAGGTCGGGCGGGGAAGCATAAGGAGCACGATCAGCCGGTGATGCGCATGGACTACGTGAAGTACATGGGGGGGGGTTGATAGGGCAGACCAGCATAACGAGTCGCACTACCACGACCATAAGTCCTCCACGAATCACTGGCGGTGCGTTTTCGACGCGAAGATCATGCAGATGCTGACCAACAACTTTCTGTTGTTTCGGATGTGGGTGCGGCTTTTGATGAGCGAGGTAGACATCTTGATGGACCCACACAACACCCCCTTTGAGGAGTTTCAAGAGTTGAAGGATGTAAAGAAGGAGTTGGAGAGGCTGAGCAAGAGGGAGAGGGCTGATTGGGACGAAGAATTGTCTGAGATTTTGATGAAGATATGCAACATGGGAACCATCAGGAAGGGCGGGAAAGCCCCTCGGTCGTCGGAGAGACAACAGCCTACGGGGAAGGTTTGGGGTAGCGTCCAGTTTAAGTCACAGCGGTTGTGCATGAACCCTGCATGCCCAAAGCGAACGCTCAAAGGGTGCACATGCGAGGAGTTTTGCACTTTCGAGGGTCAGACAGGAGTATTGATGTGCAAGACGTGCTTCCTCGACACGGACCGCCACGCGGCCGCCGCCGAAGCCCACTGGCATGGGGTCGATGTACTGCCGAGGAGGTCACAGATGGAATGGGAGGGGGTTTCTTAGGCTGGGTTGGGCTCGGCAAAGGGAGTATTGGGTGATCGTATGTCGCTTTGCGTGGGTGTCGCCTACAAAGCCCCAGGACCACTTTTTTTTTGGGGGGGGGGGAGATAGGGACATGTGGCAGGTGCACCCTGCTGTGCTTTTTTTTCTTTATTGTTTTTCCGGTTAGCCCGCCGGTGCTTGTTGCGTTGGAGGAACGACGTTGTTCAGTGACGAGTTTCTCTGTAGGGACAGTTTTGGACATACCGACTTGTGTCACCGGCATTGTTTGGAGACGGGACCTCCCCGCCCCCGGTTAAAACCTTCGGCGCCATCATCAGCAAACCCCGGCTAACAAACGTTCAGACCAAACACCATTTTTTTCATGGCTTGGTTCATGCTCCAACGACGGTTCTTTGTGGATTTTATAACGCTCCAAGTGTGAAACATCTGCAACTAGTCCACACGACCTTTATCCAAACCACTAGCGAAGTCGCCGGGCACATCTTCGTTCGCTCTGGGCAAAAAAAAGAGCAAAAAAGTGATGGGATGGCCTTGCTCAAACTCGTCTGCACCAATAATTCCAAGTTCAATCCAAACAACGCGCACATCTGCCCGTCTTTCCACTCCGGAGCCAACTGCTCCGACGAATGCAAGGAGGGCGACAAGCACGCGGTCGCCGAAAAACAACCCAGCCCCCACCTCCCATGCCTGCCATTGTCTGATCCAAAACCTGAGGGTGGTGCGCGACCCATAACCCCCCGCCTCCTTTCCATTCGCTGGGAACATAACGGGCCACCAATTTTCTACATTGACAGAGCGTCAATAACAGGTCCCGGAAGGGGTTGATCGCCAGGCCATACGGCGCGGCAAGCGTGAGTGAAACAATCCTGCCTCGTTAGCTGAACCCCGCGGCCTCGCGCATTGAGGGCCGTGCTGGTGTCGTAACATGCCTGCGTGTGTGCGAACAACGGTGGCGCCAAGCCGGCAAAAACTTGAAGCTGATTGGTGAACGAACGTGTGCTGTAGCTGTAGTCGCATATACTACTGGACGTGCTAGCGGCATAATACGATACTTCGGAGTACAACATGAAGATGTTTCGGGAAAAAGCTTCTGGACCCAACTAATGGCGCACAACATCACTCATGCTTTTTGCCCTCGAGATAATGATGCAGAACACTAATTAATCGTCGACAACCCGTTGCGTGACAGCAGCAGCAGCAGTTTCACGTTTCGCATACTGCTAGTTGTAGACTAGTAAATAAATAAACAAGCGAAGGGTTGTAAGGCGAACCCTAGACAACCAAACAAGTCCACAGTAGTCTAGAGGAGCTATTATTACTCTGCAGTAGTAATAGTACTATATAATACGGAGTATATGAACACATACTGAACTACATGCATACACAACACAAAGAAAATAAAAGATCATGTGTAGCGTGGTGTAGCCGCTGAGCAACCGTACGGCTACTACTGCTGCTGCTGCTGTAGTAGTATCTACACTACGCAAATATATTGTAGTACCTATGGTGTGCACGTCTTACAAACATAAACATGCACACACCGCACCGTACGCACCTGGTTCCTGG